CCATCAGCTCCCACAGTGCACACAGAGGTGCCTCTGCTGCAGCTGATGGGAGGACTCAGCATTCCCTGAGGGTTCACTTTGTTCCCTGCATTCCTGTTCCATGCTCAGGACAATCCCCAGCACTTATAACCATACACATCTACCCTGATCAGGTTTCTGAGGGGCTTCATCCAGGTGCTTCCGAGGTCTTCTCTGTCTGGAACCCCCAAAGTCCCAGGCAGCACCTACTTCTGTCCTGGAATCCACGCTTTCACCTATTTGTACAGAAAGGGTCAGGACAGAAAAGTATTGCTGTCCTTTACCTGCCCTAGGCAGCCTGTCATCTACACCTTCAATCATGGGGCTATGTGCTTTCCTTCCTATGGAAAAGAACATCTTAGGTATTACACTCAAAATATACACTCTGTCCCCTGTAGTTCACCTCTGGTTTTATGCCCAAAATATTTCCTCCAATTTTCATCCAGATCTGTTCCCCAAAACCCTCTGCTCACAACACTGTGCCAAACAACATGTGGCAATAAAACTCTGATGCCTTCAAAACAGCCAGGTTCTTGGACAATTGCTATTTCCTTCCCCTCATTGTTGTTAGTCCTTCAGAAATAGTCCTTCATAGCCCAGTTAACACTACTGCCTCAAGCATTTCCCTCCCTGCTATTACCAGCACGTTTACACAGGCAAGGAACTTAACAGCTCTTCTAAACTTATCCAGGTGCCAATTACAGCCACAAAAGAAAAGCAAAAGGAAAAAAGGGCTCAGGCAGTCAGAGAGCTCTGCAGGTGGCACCAGGCACCATCACACTTGCTGAAACATGTCCTTTTGCAGAGAGAAGGAAACAGGCCAATATTATGGCAAGTTGTGCCCTTTCCACAGTGCCAAAAAAAATCACACGCAGCATCAAGTAAGGCTCGAAGATAAGCTGGGGGAAAAAAATGGCAAAAGCACGCACCCCAGGACATTCTCTTGCTTCCAAGGTAAGACCAATCATCCCTCTAGGAAAAGAGGCAAGGGTTTATCAAGGAATGCACAACTTAGCAAGTCCGTTTAACAAGTACCAGCAGGATTTGTGCACAGAGAAAACAAAACTCCCTAGTTTTAGTAGCAAAACTATCAGTGGAAACTACAGTCTGCTTACAGCAGTAAGCTTCCCACAGCAGTTTCAGCTGCCTTCCTTTGGAGCCCAAAGGAGAAACTCCTCTGGACTGCTCCTGAGAGAGGCAATTAATAGGAACTTTGGTGCTCGGGAAAGCTAGTCCCTCCCCTAAGTCCTGGCTCACCTGCCCGAGCACCTAGAGTGCTTATATCCCACCTCGCTCCCTGCTTTTCATGTTCCTATCCATAAAAGAAACCTCCAAGCTCTTCCTCCAGTCTGAGCTGTATCTTCCCTGCATCCCCCCTAGTCCCTTACCTGTTCACGTGCGCTGCTCCCGGCACATCCCTCGGCCCCTTCCTTGAGCGATGATCCAGGTACCTCAGGTGCTTGCCCCGGGGAGACGCCCTCATGGTCGTTGCTGGAGAGACTCCACAGAACGGACTGCTCCTCTGCAGAAAATGCCCACCAAAACAAGCACCCTCTCCAAAAGCCCCAGATAACCAGCCAGCAGGACCTGCCCCTCGTCATTCCTCATTGGCCACACCTGAGGCTGTCCCGCCCCTCGTTATCGTCCCTGCCCACTCGTGGGGCTGTCCCGCCCCTCTCATCCTCCCTGCCCATTGTAGGGCTGTCCCGCCCCTCGTTATCGTCCCTGCCCACCCGTGGGGCTGTCCCGCCCCTCGTCATCATCACTGGACACACCTGAGGCTGTCCCGCCCCTCGTCATCGTCCCTGCCCACCCGTGGGGCTGTCCCGCCCTCTCATCCTCCTGCCCACCCGTGGGGCTGTCCTGCCCTCGTCATCCTCCTGCCCACCCGTGGGGCTGTCCCGCCCCTCTCATCCTCCCTGCCCACCCGTGGGGCTGTCCTGCCCCTCGTCATCCCCGCTGCCCACCCGTGGGGCTGTCCCGCCCTCATCATCCTCCTGCCCACCCGTGGGGCTGTCCCGCCCCTCGTCATCGTCCCTGCCCACCCGTGGGGCTGTCCCGCCCCTCGTCATCGTCCCTGCCCACCCGTGGGGCTGTCCCGCCCTCGTCTCCTCCCTGCCCACTCGTGGGGCTGTCCCGCCCTCTCATCCTCCTGCCCACCCGTGGGGCTGTCCCGCCCCTCGTCATCGTCCCTGCCCACCCGTGGGGCTGTCCCGCCCCTCGTCATCGTCCCTGCCCACCCGTGGGGCTGTCCCGCCCTCTCATCCTCCCTGCCCACTTGTGGGGCTGTCCCGCCCCTCGTCTCCCTCCCTGCCCACTTGTGGGGCTGTCCCGCCCCTCGTCATCCTCCCTGCCCACTTGTGGGGCTGTCCCGCCCCTCTCATCCTCCCTGCCCACTTGTGGGGCTGTCCCGCCCCTCGTCACCGTCCCTGCCCACCCGTGGGGCTGTCCTGCCCCTCGTCACCGTCCCTGCCCACCTGTGGGGCTGTCCCGCCCTCGTCATCCTCCCTGCCCACTTGTGGGGCTGTCCCGCCCCTCGTCACCGTCCCTGCCCACCCGTGGGGCTGTCCCTCACAGGGGGATGACAGAACGGCGTTTGGCCCCCCAGGCGGGTGCGTGACGTGGGGGAGCGATCCGGAGGGCGGCGCGGGGACTGTGAACGGCCGGGAATGATTCAAACACCCATCAGATCATTGTTAATCGGAGCCCCGCTCCCTCATCTCTGTCCTCGTTTTTTCCTCGGCCGCAAAACCCGATGATCCCCCACTGGCTCTCGTTTAGGGTGCTTTTCTCCCACGGCTCTTTTCTCCCCGCTGAATACCTCCTGGCATATTCAGAGCTTAGCCGGAGGCGAGCCCCTCTGAGGAATTTCCTCTCGTGCCGATGCTGTGGGATGAAAAGAAGTGAAGAAAGCACGTCGAGAGTTCCTTCTACCCCCTTCTTTGCTCCCTGGGAGCGATGCCGCCGGCCCTCCGAGTGTGGGACAGCACACCTGCCTGACTCCCCTCTGTCCAAAGAGCTTCCAGCGAGCAATCGCTGCAAAAACCCCAAATCCCAGCATTTGGGGCTCTTGGAATGCGGCTGGGAAACACCTCGTTCAAGCGGACACTTGCCGGGGAACGATTCAGCCCCGATATCGTGCAGGGGACAAAACCTGCCCCTCTCTTTGGTTTCCCAAGCGCTCCAGCAGCAGCAGGAGCTGCCTTTGTCCATCCCAGCCGCCCCGCGCTGTCCCGAGCTCAGCTCAGCATCCCAGAAGCCGCAGGACGGGTCATTCCCCGCACGGAACGGGGATCCAGCGATCCCTGCCACTCCCGGGAGCCGAGCCGAGCCCCGGGGCGCCACCGCAGCCCCCCAGCCCCTCCCGCCGGACCCCGCACAGCTCCGGGTACAGCCGGTCCCGCAGCGTCCTCCGGGAAAACCGGGATCGAGGGGGGGAAAATGGCAAGGGGGGGGCGGCGGGGGAAAACCCGGACTGGATTTCGGCCGGAGTGCGGAATGGGGGAAAACCCGGACTGGATTTCGGCCAGAGTACGGAATGGGGGAAAACCCGGACTGGATTTTTCCCGGAGTACGGAATGGGGGAAAACCCGGACTGGATTTTTTCTGGAGTACGGAATGGATTTTAAAAAAAAAAAAAAAGGAAAAAAGAAGGAAAAAAAAGAGAAAAAAGAGGAAAAAAAGGGGGAAAGAAGGAAAGAAAGGAAAGAAAAGAGAAAAAAGAGGGAAAAAAGGGGGAAAGAAGGGAAAGAAAGGAAAAAAGGGGAATAAAAGGGGAAAAAAGGGGAAAAAAGAGGAAAAAAGGAGGGAAAAAAGGAGGGAAAAAAGGAAAAAAATTAATTTGTCATGGGGACAAAGACAAGGCTTGGAGGGAATTGCAAGTTCCCTTCTGCATAGAGAATTTTTGGATACATCCCAAAATTAAATGAAGTTTATTGGTTTTGTGTGGTCAGTGAGGAACTGAGCAAAGGGCTGAATGCCTTTCTGTCCTTAGAAGAAGAACCCAATCCCAATCCCATCCCTGTTCATCCCAGTCCCTTCCCAGTCCCCATCCCAATGCCTCCCAAGTGCCCTCCATCCCATCCCAGTCCCTCCCCAGTGCCACCAGTGCCTCCAGTCCCCTCCCACTTCCCTCCCAGTAGCCCGTGTACCCCCAGTCCCTTCCTATTCTCCTCCCAGTGTCACTCCCAGTTCCCCCCCGGTACCCCCAATCCCCATACTGGTCACACTGGAGTCGGTCCCATTGCTAATTTGACCCTTTATTGACAACTGGACAACAGGGTAAAAGGTCACTTGTTGTTTTGGGAGGGAGGGGTGTCTCGGGGGGGCCCAGCATGCACTGGGAGGTCTCAGAGGGGTCCCGGGGCACATTGGGGTGGGTCTCAAGGGGCTTCCGGGGATCACTGAAGGGGTGTCAGGGGGGTCCCAGGGGTAAGTGGGGAGAGGGGATCCCAGGGGGGTCCCAGGGGTCATTGGAGTGGTCTCAGGGGGGTCCCAGGGCACACTGGGGGTGTCTTGGGGGGAGTATTGGAGGCTCCTGGGAAGGTTTCAAGCAGGAACGGGGAGGGAGGGGTCCCAGGGGATATCTGGGGTGCCCTCAGGGCTGGGGGGGGGTCGGGGGGAGGCCGGCCCCTCCCCCCACGCTGCCCCTACTGAGGGTCCGGCTCCGAGCCCTCTCGGCGCCGCCCTCCCGCCCGGGCGCAGCAGGAGCCGGTTCTGGAGCGGGAGAGCGGGTCATGGCCGAGGCTGCCACTGGGGAGGGGCAGCGTCAGGACACGCCCCTTCCCTCCCTCCCCCCCAAAAAAACCCGACACCCACTCCCCTTTCCCTTAAACCACGCCCGAGTCCCGTAAACCACACCCCCCCTTCTTCAAATCACGCCCTATTGCCCTTAAATCGCACCTATTCACCCCAAATCACGCCCGTTTTCTTAAGCCACGCCCCACTCCCCTTGAACCGCGCCCACTCCCTTTAAACCACGCCCACTCCATTTAAACCACGCCCACTACCTTTAAACCACGCCCACTCCATTTAAACCACGCCCACTACCTTTCAACCACGCCCACTCCTTTTAAACCACACCCACACCATTTAAACCACGCCCACTACCTTTCAACCACGCCCACTCCATTTAAACCATGCCCACTCCATTTAAACCACGCCCACTCCTTTTAAACCACGCCCACTCCATTTAAACCATGCCCACTCCATTTAAACCACGCCCACTACCTTTCAGCCACGCCCCTTTCCCCTTAAACCGCACCCCTTTGTGTAAACCACACCTCCCTTCTAACCACACCCCGTTGACCTTTAAGCCACGCCCATTAACCTCGAAGCCACGCCCCACTCTGAACCACGCCCTCTTTCATAAACCACGCACCTTCTCCTGAATATTAATGAGCCAAATTATGCATATTAATGAGAGCATCCCATAGATTAAAGAGCCCCTGGCGTACGATAGCGACCCCTCATGCATATTAACGACTCCGGCGCATATTAATGAGCTCAGTGCCCGTCAACACGTCCAGGACGTACTAACGAGCTCCGCGGAGATTAACGAGCCCCTCGTGCATATTAATGAGCCCCTCGTGCATATTAATGAGCCCCTCATGCATATTCAGGACTCACTGTAGCCCATCCCCTGCAGGAAGTACTTGAAGGCTTCGGTGAGACGCCCCGGCTTGGGGGGAGGCAGGGAGAGGGGTCAGGCCGTGCCCTCCCCCCCGGTGGGGCGGGTGGGGAGGGGTCACGACCCACCCCTCCCACCGTGACCTTTGACCCCTGTCACCTGTGAGATTTGAGGCTGCCCCCCACCGTCGGCCATCTGAAACAGAGGGGAGGGGGTTTTACGGGAGGGGGAGGTCACGAGGGGTTGTCACGCTCGGGGGAGGTCCCCAATTGGGGCACAGGGGTCAAGGTCACCTTCAGGAAGGAGGTCTGGGTGGGGTCCAGCTAGCGTTGCACTCCACCTTTTGGGGGTGGGGTGGGGGTGTGTTCATGGGGAGTCACGTGACCTTGCTCTGGGGGTCACGTGACCCACCCAACCCCACTCACCACGGCGTCCTCGTGGGGGAGTTGTCGCCCACCACGAGCAGAGCGGGGCAGCTGAGGTCAGAGGTCACAGGGTCAGAGGTCACGGGGCAGGGAGGGTCACATCACACCGGGGTCAGGGGTCACGGGGTCAGGGGTCACTCACCGCAGGCTCCCGGATCCGCTGCGCTCCAGCCCGAGGTCCCAGCGGCTGAGACGGGGAGGGGCTTTAGGCCACGCCCCCGGCAACGCCCACCCGGCCCTTGGGCTCCACCCAACCCCCTTTTTACCTTGGACCCCACCCTTTGTGGCCACACCTCTGGCCACACCCTCCCATGGCCACACCCCCATGGCCACACCCCCATGGCCACACCCTCCATGGCCACACCCTCCATGGCCACAACCCCTCTGGCCACACCCCCATGGCCACACCCCCATGGCCCACACCCCCATGGCCACACCCCTCATGACCACACCCCCATGACCACACCCCCATGGCCCACACCCCCATGGCCCACACCCTCCATGGCCACACCCTCATGGCCACACCCTCTGGCCACACCCCCATGGCCACACCCCCCATGGCCACACTCCCATGGCCACACCCCCATGACTACACTCCCCATGGCCCACACCCCCAAGGCCACACCCCCATGTCCACCCCCTCATGGCCACACCCCCATGGCCACACCCCCACCACACCCATGGCCACACCCTCATGGCCACACCCTCTGGCCACACCCGCATGGCCACCCTCCATGGCCACCCTCTGGCCACACCTCCGGCCACACCACCCCCATGGCCACACCCCCATGGCCACCCCTCATGGCCACACCCTCTGGCCACACCCCCATAGCCACACCCTCCATGGCCACACCCCCATGGCCACACCCCTGGCCACGCCCTCACCTGGCGTACATGGCCCAGAGCAGGGCGGGTTCGGCGCCTTCCCCAAGCGCTCCCGGAGCCTGCCGCAGTGGGGCGGCCGCCAGCTCGTCCTGTGGGGAGACCCCCATTGGGGAGGGAAAGACCCCCACCCCAGCAGGGCTGATCCGTCACCTCTGACCCCCGCCCGGGACCCCCGATGTCCCTCCCGAGGGTCTCCAACCCCTCACCAAAATCTCTGACCCCCCTCCCTCCCCTAAACCCCCAAGACTCTCTGGGACCCTCCTGGGAGCCCCTCCAATTCCCCTCAGACCTCCCGCCAGACACTCAGTATCCCTGAGATCTGCATAACTGCCCCCAGACCCTCCCAGACAGCCCCAGACCCCCAGCGTGCCCCCAGACCCCCAGGTGCCCCCAGCAGGTGCCCCCACCTGGGTGAAAAGGTGACTCAGGATCATTTCGGTCGTCGACGTCGTCAGCCCCGAGAGCTGCAGGAGGGGGGAAAGGAGGGAGGAAGCGACCCCAAGGACCCCCTGGTGGGGTCCGTAGGGACCCTCAGGAGCCGCCCAAGGACCCCCAAGGACCCCCAGCTCACCTTGCTGGCGGCCCAGTCCATCCAGCCCTTGGCCCGGGCGTCGATGTTCACCAGCACCAGCCCCTCCACGGCCTCGGGGCGCAGCAGCTTTGGGGGGGAAAAGGGGCAAGGGGGGTCTGGGGGAGTCACCTGGACCACCCCCCCCGGGACCCCCAACTCCTCCCGGACCTCCAGGGACCCCCAACTTCCTCCCAGGAACCCCCATCCCTCTCAAACCCTCCCAGGGACCCCCAACATCCTCCCAGGGAACCCCCATCCCTCTCAAACCCTCCCAGGGACCCCAACATCCTCCCAAGGAACCCCCATCCCTCTCAAACCCTCCCAGGGACCCCCAACTTCCTTCCAAGGAACCCCCATCCCTCTCAAACCCTCCCAGGGACCACCAACCGCTCCTGGACCACTGAAGGGAACCCCACCCCTCCCTTTCAGGGACCCCCAATCCCTCCCAGACCCTTTTGGGGACCCCAATCCCTCCAAGACCCTTTCAGGGACCCCCAACCCCTCCCAGACCCTTTTGGGGACCCCCAACCCCTCCCAGACCCTTTCAGGGACCCCCAACCCCTCCCAGACCCTTTTGGGGACCCCCAACCCCTCCCAGACCCTTTTGGGGACCCCCAACCCCTCCCAGACCCTTTCAGGGACCCCCAACCCCTCCCAGACCCTTTTGGGGACCCTAACCCCTCCCAGATCCTTTTGGGGACCCCAACCCTCCTAGACCCTTTCAGGGACCCCAACCCCTCCCAGACCGTTTTGGGGACCCCCAGCCCCTCCCGGACCCTTTCAGGGACCCCCAACCCCTCCCAGGCCCTTTCGGGGACCCCCAACCCCTCCCAGACCCTTTCAGGGGCCCCCAACCCCTCCTGGACCCTTTCAGGGGCCCCCAACCCCTCCCAGACCGTTTTGGGGACCCCCAACCCTTCCCAGACCCTTTTGGGGACCCCCAACCCCTCCTGGACCCTTTCAGGGCCCCCAACCCCTCCCAGACCGTTTTGGGGACCCCCAGCCCTTCCCAGACCCTTTTGGGGACCCCCAACCCTTCCCAGACCCTTTCAGGGACCCCCAACCCCTCCCAGACCCTTTTGGGGACCCCCAACCCCTCCCAGATCCTTTCAGGGACTCCCAACCCCTCTCAGACCCTTTTGGGGACCCCCAACCCCTCCCAGATCCTTTCAGGGACCCCCAATCCCTCCTAGACCCTTTCATGAACCCCCAACCCCTCCCAGACCCTTTTGTGGACCCCCAAGTTCCTCCCATGGACCTCCAACCCCTCCCAGACCCTTTTGGGACCCCCAAGCCCTCACAGGCCCTTTTGGGACCTCCAACCCCTCCCAGACCCTTTTGGGGACCTCCAAGTTCCTCCCAGGGACCTCCAACCCCTCCAGGACCCCTCCAGGGACCTCCAACCCCTTCTGGACCCCCAGCCCCTCAGATCCCCCCAGACTCACCCCAAACTTTGCCAGCACGAAGGCTCCGGCCCCCACCCCACCCCGACGATGCTTTTGATGCTGGGGGGAGGTGAGAGGACAGAGGTCAGAGGTCATGGGGGTGGGGCCAACCCCTCCCCACCCCATTTCTGACTCCCCCCTGAACTCACCCCAGGGCCTGCAGGACCCCCGGGAGCATCTCAGCCAACTGCTCCAGGGAGGGTGCACTGAGTACCTGGGGGGCAAACTGGGTCAGACTGAGGGCAAACTGAGGTCAGACTGAGGGCAAACCGGGGGTCAGATTGGGGAAAACTGGGAGTCAGACTGGGGGCAAACTGGGGTCAGACTGGGGGCAAACTGGGAGTCAGACTGGGAGTCAGACTGGGGGCAAACTGGGGGCAAACGGGGTCAGACTGAGGAGGCAAACTGGGGGCAGACTGGGGCAAACTGGGGGCAAACTGGGGGTCAGACTGAGGGCAAACCGAGGTCAGATTGGGGTCAGACTGAGGGCAAACCGGGGGTGGACTGGGGGCAAACTGGGGTCAGACTGGGGGGCAAACTGGAGGCAAACTGGGGTCAGAAGTGTCCAATATGGGTAGGGCAGGGCGGGGCTGTGGGGGTGGGCGTGTCCGTGGGCGTTACCCAGGTGGGCAGGGCGGGGCTGTGGGGGAGTGGGCGTTACCCAGGTGGGCAGGGCGTGGCCATGGGGGTGTGGGCGTGTCCGTGGGCGTTACCCAGGTGGGCAGGGCGGGGCTATGGGGGTGGGCGTGTCCGTGGGCGTTACCCAGGTGGGCAGGGCGTGGCCGTGGGGGGTGGGCGTGTCCGTGGGCGTTACCCAGGTGGGCAGGGCGTGGCCATGGGGGTGGGCGTTACCCAGGTGGGCAGGGCGTGGCCATAGGGGGTGGGCGTGTCTGTGGGCGTTACCCAGGTGGGCAGGGCGTGGCTGTGGGGGGTGGGCGTTACCCAGGTGGGCAGGGCGTGGCCGGGGGGTGGGCGTTACCCAGGTGGGTAGGGCGTGGCCATAGGGGGTGGGCGTGTCCGTGGGCGTTACCCAGGTGGGTAGGGCGTGGCAATGGGGGTGTGGGCGTGTCCGTGGGCGTTACCCAGGTGGGCAGGGCGTGGCTGTGGGGGTGGGCGTTACCCAGGTGGGCAGGGCGTGGCCGTGGGGGTGGGCGTGTCCGTGGGCGTTACCCAGGTGGGCAGGGCGGGGCTGTGGGGGTGGGCGTGTCTGTGGGCGTTACCCAGGTGGGCAGGGCGTGGCCATGGGGGTGGGCGTTACCCAGGTGGGTAGGGCGGTGCCCCTCCTCCATGCCGGGCGGGTCGAGGTGCACGACGTGGAAGCTCCGGGCGATCTCGGCCATCTCCTCGTGCTCAAACAGGGGGCAAAGCACGTCTCGTCTGGGGGAGGGGATGGGGGTCACCTGGCGGTGGGGAGGGCGGGAGGGTCTCCTCTCCCTCTCCCACCCTGCTGTGATTTGGGGGAGGGAGGGACACTCACGGGTGTGCCCCACGTCCGGGAAGGTGAGCAGGGCAGGCCGCCCGGGCCGGGGGGACCCCGAAATCCAGGCGTGGACCCCCCCGAACGGCGTCTCCAAAAACTGAGAGGGAGGAGGGACCGATGACCACACCCCCCACCCCCCCCCCGGGGGGAGGAACCGAAAATTGGGGTCCTGAGCCCCCCCAAAAACGGCCCCAGAGGGCAGCAGAAACAGCCCCGGAGCGCCCGATCCGCTCCCAAAATGGGCCCTTTTCGCCCCAAAACAACCCTCTGACTCCAAATCCTGGCTCCATTTACCCCGAAACGGGCCCCTCTCGCCCCAGTTTCCCCCCAGATTCCCCTTTTTTGGGAGATTTTCCCCCTTTTCTCCCTAAATCCCAAATATCGCCTCTTTGTCCCTAAATCCCCCCTTTTCCTTCCCAAATCCCCCCCTTATTTCCCCCAAATTCCCTTTTCCCCCCTTTCCCTTCCCAAATTCCTCCCCTCCCCTGCCCCCAGGCCCCGCCCCCACCTTCACGGTTTCCCCCAAACCTTCCCCTTTTCCCGCCCCCAAAAGAATCCCCCCCAAACCAGCCCCTTCCCCACCCCCCGGATCCCAAACCCCCTTTTTCGCCCCAAAACACCCCTTGTGAAGCCCCGGGAGGTGCCGGGAGGGGCGGGGGTGGGGAGGGGCGGGGTGGGGAGGGCAGTGTTGGGTGGGCCCTCCCTCCCCCTCCCAAAATCTCACCTTGACCTCCGGCGGTGGGGAGGGCGGCCTCTTGGAGCTCCATGACCCTGATATTTAATTTTTGGGGAGTGGGGTCAAAGGTCACGACCCTTCCCCACAACCCTCCCCACCCCCTCGCCCCCTCCCTCCCCAACCCCCTGGGTGGGAGGAGGCGACCCGGGTCGGAACCTGTTGCCACCTTCACGCGCCTCTGGGAAACGGCCCTCCCCGCCCCTCCCCACCCCGCCCAGGCCCCTCCCCACCCCGCCCCGGCCCCTCCCCCACCCACGCCCGTTCCCACGCCGGGGAGGGCGGGCGTGGCTAAAATACACCCCCTGCCCCTCCCCCACCCTCCCCCATGACGCCACTGGAGGCTTTGAATTGACTTTAATTAACTTCAATTAACTTTATTTGACTTTCAATTAACTTTAATCCACTTTAATTAAGGCTCCGAAGCGACCTGACTTGGCCACGCCCCTCCCCCTCCTTCGTTAATTAAATAATTAATTAAATCTCCTCTGGAGTGGGGGGGGGAAGGGGCTGATTCGGAATGTAAATGAGCTGGAATGATTAATTAGGAGCACTGATTAGGCTGAAATAATTAATTAATTAACACCCCTCATTAGGCCCAAATAATTGACTGCACTAATCAGTGCTGCATAGTTAATTAGGCTGAAATAATTAATTAATACCCATTCCTGGGGCTAATTAAGCTTCAATAATCAGTGAGATTAATCAGCCTTGAGCAATTATCAGGAGCCCCTTAGCCTTTGCTAATTAATCTTTCCAGGTGTAATTGGCCTCAGTTAATTAACACCCTGAATAAATTAATCAGTGCAGGTAATGTAGCCTAATAATTAACGGGGGGGAGGGGCTGATCAACCAGAAATAATTAATGAATAATTAATCAGCCTGGAACAATTAGTCATTAAGGCCTTGGATCTTCAGTTATCGGGGCTAATTAGCCCGGAATAATTAATCGAGGGATCATTCAGCCCTGAATAAATAATTAATGCAGCGGATTTGCCTTGAGTAATTAATCACAGCAATTGATTAACCCCAAATAACACATTAATGGCATTAATCAGCCTCAAATAAAACATTAATGGCATTAATCAGCCTCAAATAATACATTAATGGCACTAACCTCAAATAAGTCACTAATGGCACTAATTAACCTCAGATAATATATTAATGGGATTAATTAACCGTGAATAATACACTAACTGGGTTAATCAATCCGCTATCATCAATAACAATTAACCTGGAACAAACTAATTGGGTGGGCTAATTAACCTCAAATAATTAACAAGTTGGGCCAATTAGCCTTGACTAATCAATCCACGGGGGTTGATCAACCCGGAATAATTAACCCAGGGTGATTAATTAGCCTGGGGTAACTCACAGAGCAGGGCTAATTAGGCTGGAATAATTAAGAGATGGGGGCTAATTAGCCCCGGGGTGGGGGGAGGTCACTGGCCCCTTGTCCTGAGAGTTCATGGCTCGTTAAAGGGGGGTAATTAATGCCCTGGGAAGGGGGGAATGACATGGGAATGACACAGGAACGACATGAGAAGAACCCTGGGCTTGAGACACGCCTGGCACGGGACTGACACGGGATTTACATGAGATTGACACGGGATTTACACGGGATTGACACGGGATTTACATGTGACATGGGATTGACACGGGACTGTCACGGGATTTACATGGGACTGACATGGGATTTACACGGGATTTACACGGGATTGACACGGGATTTACATGTGACATGGGATTTACATGGGATTGACATGGGACTGTCACGGGATTTACATAGGACTGACACGGGATTGACACGGGATTGACACGGGATTTACATGGGACTGACACGGGACTGACACGAGATTGTCATGGGGTTTACATGGGAATGACGTGGTATAGTCATGAGATTTACATGGGACTGACACGGGATTTACATGGGACTGACATGGGATTGTCACGGGACTGACATGAGAATGACACGGGATTGTCACGGGATTCCTGTGGGATTCCTGTGGGATTAAGGCACCGTCGAGGGGGGACAGGGGGAGAGGGGCAGCACGGGAACGGCACGGGACAAACACAGGCCGGACACGGGATCGTCACGGGTCCCTCACGGGGTTTAAAAGGGATTTAAAAGGGATTAAGGCACAGCCAGCGGCGAGCCCAGGAAGGGGCCACACGGGAATGGCACGGGAATGGCATGGGAATGGCACGGGAATGGCATGGGGCGAGCGCAGGCTCGGCCACACGGGATTCCCACGGGATTAAGGCACCACCGGGATCGACACGGGACGGACACGGGAGCGAGGAGGTGGGGGGGTTTAAGGCTGGAATCGGCGGGAATTCAACATGGGATGGACATGGGATGGACATGGGATGGACACGGGACCAGTGGGGGGGGTTTAAGGCCGGAATCAGCAGGAACAACACGTGGATGGACACGGGATGGACACGGGATGGACACGGGACTGAGGGGGAATGTTTAAGGCCGGAATCAGCAGGAACAACACGGGATGGACATGGGATGGACACGGGACTGAGGGGGAATGTTTAAGGCCGGAATCAGCAGGAACAACACATGACGGACACGGGAGGGACATGGGATGGACATGGGACCGAGGGGGAATGTTTAAGGCTGGAATCAGCAGGACCAACATGGGATGGACATGGGATGGACATGGGATGGACACGGGACCAGTGGGGGAATGTTTAAGGCCGGAATCAGCAGGAACAACACGGGATGGACACGGGATGGACACGGGATAAACACGGGACTGAGGGGCAATGTTTAAGGCCGGAATCAGCAGGACCAACATGTGATGGACATGGGATGGACACGGGACGGACACGGGACGGACGTGGGACTGATGGAGGGTGCCAAAGTCTGGACTCAGCAGTAACAACAAGGGACGGACACGGGATGGACACGGGATGGACGTGGGACCAATGGAGGGTGCCAAAGTCTGGAATCAGCAGTAACAACACGTGGTGGACACGGGACGGACACGGGAGGGACACGGGAGGGACACGGGATGGACGTGGGACCAATGGAGGGTGCCAAAGTCTGGAATCGGCAGTAACAACACAGTGATGGACACGGGAGGGACACGGGACAGACGTGGGACCAATGGAGGGTGCCAAAGTCTGGACTCAGCAGTAACGACACGGGATGGACACGGGATGGACACAGGAGGGATGGACATGGGACCGATGGAGGGTGCCAAAGTCTGGACTCAGCAGTAGCAACACGTGAACGCCACAGGACGGACGCAGGGCGGGCGTTCAGGCCGGAATCAGCAGGAACAACACGTGAAGGACACACACACACACGGGAGGCACACGGGACGGGCCCGGGGGATCCCGCCGGGGCCCTACGCGCGCGCGGCCTCGGCCAGGCGCGGCGCCAGGGCCAGCAGGAGCCTGCGGAGGTGCCGAGCCCCTTCCTGGGCGGCCGCCAGCACCTCCTCGTGCCCGGGGGGCGCGGCCTCGGCCCCGCCGCCTCCTCCCTTCTCCTTCCCCTCCTCCTCCTCCTCGTCCTCGTCGCCCGGGGCCGCGTTGGTGATGAGGGACAGCCCCAGCACGCGCAGCCCGCAGTGCCGCGCCGCCGCCGCCTCCGACACCGTGCTCATCCCTGCGGAGTGGGGGCAATCAGCTCGGGGATGGGGATGGACAGCCTGGGAATGGGGATGGACAGCTCGGGGATGGGGATGGACAGCTCAGGAATGGGGATGGACAGCCTGGGAATGGGGATGGACAGCCTGGGAATGGGGATGGACAGGTTAGGGATGGGGATGGACAGGTTGGGGATGGGGGTAATCAGCTCAGGGATGAACGGGGACGGCTTGGGAATGGGGATGGACAGCTTGGGAATGGGGATGGACAGCCTGGGAATGGGGATGGACAGCCTGGGAATGGGGATGGACAGCTCGGGAATGGGGATGGACAGGTTAGGGATAGGGATGGACAGCCTGGGAATGGGGACGGACAGCCTGGGAATGCGGATGGACAGCCTGGGAATGGGGATGGACAGCCTGGGAATGGGGGATGGACAGCTTGGGAATGGGGGTGGACAGCCTGGGAATGCGGATGGACAGCCTGGGAATGGGGATGGACAGCTCAGGAATGGGGATGGACAGCCTGGGAATGGGGATGGACAGCTCAGGAATGGGGATGGACAGCTCGGGAATGGGGATAGACAGCCTGGGAATGGGGGTGGACAGCCTGGGAATGGGGATGGACAGCTCGGGGATGAATGGGGACGGCTCAGGAATGGGGATGGACAGCTTTGGAATGGGGATGGACAGCCTGGGAATGGGGATGGACAGCTTGGGAATGGGGATGGACAGCCTGGGAATGTGGATGGACAGCTTGGGAATGGGGGTAATCAGCTCGGGGATGAACGGGGACAGCTCGGGAATGGGGATGGACAGCTCGGGAATGGGGGTGGACAGCTTGGGAATGGGGATGGACAGCTCGGGAATGGGGATGGACAGCCTGGGAATGGCCTTGGCCGACGTGGTCAGCTCGGGAATGGCCAAAGCCAGGCTGGGGATGGGGATGGTCTGCTTGGGAACGGGGTGGGCGACTGGGGAGCGCTCCCAGGTGTGTCCCATCTGAGCCCCCCTCTCTGCCCCCAGCACACCCTTGGCATGCCCAGCCCATCCTGTTTTGGGCCCCGCCGAGGACTCACCGACGGCGTCAGCGCCGAGGCGCCGCAGGAGCCGGCACTCGGCCCAGGTCTCGTAGCTGGGCCCCCCCACGCCCACGTAGACCCCCGGGCGGGCGTGGAGCTCGGGGGGGGCCAGGGCCAGCGCCAGGCGCCGCAGGGCGGGGTCGTATCCGTCCGTCATGGCCGGGAAGCGCGGCCCGAACCTGCCGGAGACAGCCCGGGCGTGGGCATGGTCAGCTCAGGAACGGCCAAGGGCACCTCGGGAATGGGGCTGGACAATGTGGGAACGGCCAAGATCAATGTGGGAATGGGGTTGGACAACGTGGGAACGGCCAAGGTCAACGTGGGAATGGGGTTGGGCAACGTGGGAATGGCCAAGGTCACCTGGGAATGGGGCTGGACAATGTGGGAATGGGGCTGGACAATGTGGGAATGGTCAAGGTCACCTCGGGAATGGGGCTGGACAATGTGGGAACGGCCAAGGTCAACGTGGGAATGGGGCTGGACAACGTGGGAATGGCCAAGAGCAACGTGGGAATGGGGTTGGGCAACGTGGGAATGGCCAAGAGCAATGTGGGAATGGGGTTGGACAATGTGGGAACAGCCAAGATCAACGTGGGAATGGGGCTGGACAACGTGGGAATGGCCACGGTCACCTCGGGAATGGGGTTGGACAACGTGGGAATGGCCAAGAGCAACGTGGGAATGGGGTTGGGCAACGTGGGAATGGGGCTGGACAACGTGGGAATGGCCAAGAGCAACGTGGGAATGGGTTTGGGCAACGTGGGAATGGCCAAGAGCAACGTGGGAATGGGTTTGGGCAACGTGGGAATGGCCAAGATCAACCTGGGAATGGGGATGGTCAGTGTGGGAATGGGGATGGTCCATGTGGGAATGGCCACGGTCAAGTTGGGAATGGGGATGGTCAGTGTGGGAATGGTCAAGATCAACCTGGGAATGGGCTTGGACAGCCTGGGAATTGGGATGGTCAACGTGGGAATGGGGATGGTCAGTCTGGGAATGGCCATGGTCAAGCAGGGAACGGTATTAGACAACCTGGGAATTGGGATGGTCAACGTGGGAATGGTCAAGATCAACCTGGGAATGGGGTTGGACAACCTGGGAATTGGGGATGGTCAGTGTGGGAATGGTCAAGATCAAGCTGGGAACAGGGTTGGACAGCCTGGGAATTGGGATAGTCAACATGGGAACGGCCGACGCCCCCTTAGGAACGGGCAGTTGGGGACGGCCAAGCACGGCCTGGGAACGCCCAACGTCCGGCTAGGGGTCGCCGAGGCCACCCCTGGGGACCCCCGCTGCCCCCACCCCGCCGGCCCCCGCCCACCTCTCATCGTTGGGCCCCACCAGGGGCTGCGCCCGGCCAGCCCGGGCAGGTCGATGTGGTCGCGGATGACCAGCAGGTGCCCCGGGGCCAGGCCGGGGCTCAGGGCGCCCGCGGCGTTGGTCAGCACCAGGGTGTGGACGCCCAGCAGGGCCAGGGTGCGCACCGGCATCACCACCTGGGGAGGGCGGGGCCATGCAAATCAGGGGGTGGGGCGGGGACATGCAAATCAGTGTGGGGGCGGGGCTAAGCGGGGAGGCAGACGTGCAAATGATGGGGTGGGTATGCAAATGATGGGTGTGGTTGTGCAAATGATGGGGTGGGTATGCAAATGATGGGGTGGTTATGCAAATGAGGCATGTGGTTGTGCAAAACCGGGGGTGTGGTTATGCAAATGACGGGGCAGTTATGCAAATTATAATATAATAATAAGGTGTAAAGACCTTCCCCGGATCTTCGCTCGCGAAGACTGGCCATTATTATTTATTATTATGCAAATTATGGGTGGGTATGCAAATGAGGGGTGTGGTCATGCAAATGATGGGATGGTTATGCAAATGATGGGCGTGGTCTTGCAAAAACCACACAGAGGGTGTGGTTATGCAAATGAGGGGCGGGGCTAATGGGAAGAGGGGGGCAATGTGCAAATAGGGTCGTCACCGCCTGCAGGGGGCGCTAAGGGTTGGGGGAGGGGGCCATTCATGCAAATGAGGGGTGGGGCTAAGTGAATGGAGGCGTGGCTAAGCGAAGGGGTGTGGCCAGGAAAGGGGGAGGAGGGGGAAGGATGGAAGGAGCTCTGGGAAAAGGAGGAGCGGCCTAAAGAGAAAGAGCTGGGGTTTAAGAATGGCAGGCATTGAGTGGGTGGGGCTCGTTGAGAAAGGGGCGGGGCTTTGTGGGCGTGGCCCGGAGGAGGGAGGGGAGGGGAGAGGGGCGTGTCTCACCTGGGCGGGGCTGTAGCCCTCGTACAGGTGGAAGCGGCCCTGCAGGACGGCGCAAGGCCCCGCCCCCAGGCGCCCGACCACCAACCGCCCGGCGTGGCCCTGCACTGGGGGGGGCACAGGGGGGTCACTCCCGAGGGACCGAGGGACCCCCCGAGCGCCCCAAAGTGACCCCCACGGTAACCCCGAACCATCCCCGAAGCGACCCCAAAACCGCCCCATCCGCCCCCAGAGGGACTCCCAGAGCGACCCCAAAGCACCCCACCCACCCCAGAGTGCCCCCAACACCCTCTCCATCCCCAGAACTGCCCCCCCCAGACCCCAAAATTCCCTCCCCACATTCCTCCCCGCCTCCAGTCCATCCCCCAGCCCCCAAGCGCTGCCCTGACCGCCCCCCCGGCGCTCTCCCCGTACCGGTGCTGCGTGGGAAGTGGGGGATGTCGGCGTAGTCGAAGCTCTGGGGGTCCGTGAGCTCCTGGGCCAGAGCCCCCAGCCCCGAGCCGCAGACCAGGGCCACCTTGGGGGGCTCCCGGAGCCGGGCCCGCAGCCAGGCCGCCGCCTCTGCACAGGCCTCGTAGCTGCACAGGCAAAAACGGCTCCAAAATCACCCCCAACGTCATCCCCGGGACCGGCCCCGGAGTCACCCCCCAAACGGCGACCCAAAATCGTCCCAAAATCACCCCGACGTCAGCCCCAGAATCAGCCCCAACATCACCCCCCAAACCACCCACAAAGGCATCCCAGAACTGCACCAGCATCCCCAAATCACCTGCAAAACAACCCCCATCACCCCCCAGGGCCCCCTGGCATCACCCCAGGACCCTCTGGGTGAGCCCCAGTGACCCCAGCGACCCCCAGATCCCCCCCAGTGACCCCCAGGACCCCCCACTGATCCCCAGTGACCCCCAGGACCCCCCCAGTGACCCCCAGGGGGACCCTCCAGACCCACAGAGCGACCCCAGTGACCCCTCCACCGACTCCAATCCCCCGCCAGCGGCCCCAAACCCCTAAACCGACCCCAGTTCCCCTCCGGGCCCCACATTTCCCCCACACCACCCGACCTTGACCCTCGCCCAGGAGCCGCTCCAGGCCCGGGCCCGGGGCCAGACGGACTTGGGACCCGAGGCCGTCCCTCCGCCCCCCCAGAACGCCCCCCGGATCCTCCCGGAACCTCCCGACCCTTCCCCCGAGCCCCCTGCCCCAAAACGCCCCCTCACAACTTGTTGTTGTTCGCCCCCCCCCCATCCCCGGGGGTCTGAGGGAGGGGGATTAGAACACAAGCCACGCCCCCCAGCATCGATTGGCGGCCAGAGGGATGCGAGACCCCCCCCTTAAACGCCACATCCGCCCCCGAACCGCCACATTTGGCCCCTCGAACCCCCATTAACGCCCCCCCGGCATCCCTGTACCTCCCCTCCATCGAGCCGCGAATGCGGCGCCGCCCCCGCCGCCCGCCGCTTATATAGCCGTGACGTCACCGCGCGCGAACGCGCCCCCTCGCGCCGCCGCCGCTCGGCCAATCAGCGGCCCCCGTGCCCTCCGCGTCGCCATGGAAACCGCCGCGGGCGAAGCTCGGAGGGATGGGACTGAGCGGCGGCAACGGGGGCCAATCAGCGCGCGGGAAGGACGGGAGCGTCGCCCAATCGGAGCGCTCGAGTGGGGCTGGGGGCGGGACGAACGCAGAAAAGGAGGGGCGTTGGGGAGAAATCACGTGAGGGCGCGCGGGCCAATGAAAGCAGGAGGAGGAACCCGGAAAAGGGGTGGGGGGCTGTGCGGGCGGTTGCCTGGCAACGCTGAAGGACGGGCGTCACGTGAGGCGCGCGGGGCCAATGGGAGGGCGCTGAGGAACCCGAGAGGCTTTGCTGGGCGTTGCCCGGCAACGCTAAAGGGGGGGGGGCGTCACGTGAAGCGCTCGGGGCCAATGGGAGCGCGCGAAGGAGGAACCCGGAAAGGCCGGTGCTGGGCGTTGCCTGGCAACGCCGAAGGCGCATCACGTGACGCCGCGAGGGAGCCAATGGGAGCCGGGGAGGGGCGGCGCCCGCGGTCACGCGGGCGGGGCGGCCCAATCAGCGGCGAGGCGAGGGGCGCGGCCTCGGCGCTGTCATGGCGGACGGGGAGCGGTCGCCGCTGCTGCCGCCCGAGGCGGGGCCGGGATCGGGCGGGGCCGCCGCCGGTGAGGCTCGGGGAGGGCGTTCTGGGGGACGGGGGTGTGGTCGTTTTGGGGCATGCTGAGAGACCCTCTCCCCTTCTTTATCCCCCCACCCCCGTCCTTCTTGCAGGTGCCGGCGGGGAGGCCCCGCCCCCGTACTCGCCTCTGGGCAGCCCCGAGGAGGGGGCGGCTCCCGGGGCCGGGGCCGGGGCGGGAGGGGCCGGCAGGGCGGGCCCGCCCGCCGTCACCTGCCGGGTGTGCCAGCGGCCCATCAGCGTCGAGGGCAAAACGCACCAGCACGTGGTGAAGTGCGGGGGCTGCGGGGAGGCCACGGTGAGGGCGAGGGGGATGCGGGGGGCGCGGTCGGTGCAGGGGGAGGGATCAAATTGGGGGGACAGGTGTGGTTCGGTGTGGGAGGGGCTTGGGAGGGCATGGGGCCTAAAGGAGGCGGGAAAAAGGGGGTCCTAAAGGGACAGGGGGTTGAAAGGGGGTGGCACGAAGGGGCGGTCTGGAGAGAGTGGGGGTTGTGGAGGGGCGCCGTGAGCGTAACCTCGGGGCGAGCTAAAGTGGGGCTGGGTTTTTAGGGGGTGGGGCTAAAGTGGGCTGGGTTTTTAGGGGTGGGGCTAAGAGTGGGTGGTGGGGGTTTGGGGGCCGGGGCTAAAGTGGGCTGGGTTTTAGGGGTGGGGCTAAAGTGGGTGGTGGGGTTTTAGGGGTGGGGCTAAAGTGGGCTGGGTTTTTAGGGGTGGGGCTAAAGTGGGTGGTGGGGTTTTTAGGGCGGGGCTAAAGTGGGCTGGGTTTTAGGGGTGGGGCTAAAGTGGGTGGTGGGGTTTTAGGGGTGGGGCTAAAGTGGGCTGGGTTTTAGGGGTGGGGCTAAAGTGGGTGGTGGGGTTAGGGGCGGGGCTAAAGTGGGTTGGGTTTGGGGCGGGGCTAAAGTGGGCTGGGTTTAGGGGGCGGGGCTAAAGTGGGCTGGGTTTTAGGGGTGGGGCTAAAGTGGGCTGGGTTTTATAGGGGTGGGGCTAAAGTGGGCTGGGTTTAGGGGCGGGGCTAAAGTGGGCTGGGTTTTAGGGGTGGGGCTAAAGTGGGCTGGGTTTTAGGGGCGGGGCTAAAGTGGGCTGGGTTTTAGGGGTGGGGCTTTAGGGGTGGGGCTAAAGTGGGCTGGGTTTTAGGGGCGGGGCTAAAGTGGGCTGGGTTTTATAGGGGTGGGGTTTTAGGGGCGGGGGCCTGCCCTGAGGCCACGCCCCCTCCCAAAATTCCACCCACCCCCCCCCACCTTCCCAGCCAATCCGCACGGCCCCCGGCGGGAAGAAATACGTGCGGTGCCCCTGCAACTGCCTGTTGGTGTGCAGGGCCTCGGCCCAGCGCATCGCCTGCCCACGGCCTTACTGGTCAGACTGGGAGCACTGGGAGGGGCTCGGGGAGGCGCTGGGAGGGCTCGCCGGGCCATACTGGGAGCATTAGGAGGGGTGGCTGGGCCATACTGGGAGCATTCTGGGGGTGCCTGGGCCATACTGGGATCACTAGGAGGGGTCACTGGGCCATACTGGGATCATTAGGAGGGGTCGCTGGGCCATACTGGGATCACCAGAAGAGGTCACTGGGCCATACTGGGATCATTAGGAGGGGTCACTGGGCCATACTGGGATCACTAGGAGGGGTCACTGGGCCATGCTGGGATCACTAGGAGGGGTCTCTGGGCCATACTGGGTCACTAGGAGGGGTCACTGGGCCATACTGGGTCACTAGGAGGGGTCGCTGGGCCATACTGGGATCACTAGGAGGGGTCACTGGGCCATACTGGGTCACTAGGAGGGGTCGCTGGGCCATACTGGGATCACTAGGAGGGGTCACTGGGCCATACTGGGAGCATTTTGGGGGTCCCTGGGCTGCACTGGGGATCACTGGGGGGAGCCCTGGTCCATACTGGGAGCACTGGGCGGGGCCATCGCTCTGCACTGGGGATCACCGGTCCCCTCCCAGTCTCCCCCAGTCTAACCCAGTTTCCCCCTCCCAGTAAGCGCATCATCAACCTGGGCCCGGTGCACTCGGGGGCTCCCAGCCCGGACCCGCCCCCGGGAGGGGTTCGCGTGGCCTGTGCCCATTGTGGGGGGCCCTTCCTGGTGAGCCCCGCCCCCCCGGCCACGCCCAGTCAAACCCTGGCCACGCCCCTCTAAGCCCAGCCCCATCGGACCACGCCCCTCTAAACCTGACCCTGACCACGCCCCTCTAAACCTGACCCCATCAGACCACGCCCCTCTAAACCTGACCCTGACCACACCCCTCTAAGCCCCTCCCCATAACCCCTCCCGCGTGACCACACCCTGTTAAGTCCCTCCCCTCCCCACCCTGCTAAGCCCCTCCCCAGTGACCACACCCCTAAGCCCCTCCTGTGACCACACCCTCTAAGCCCTCCTGTGACCACGCCCCTCTAAGCCCCTCCCCTGTGACCACACCCCTCTAAGCCCCTCCTCTCCACAGTGGGCGGAGCTCCCCGACCGCTCCCTGGCCCGGTGCCCCCATTGCCGCAAGGTGTAAGTGACCCCTCCCCCTTTTTTTGGGGGGGGCGTGGTCTCTGTGTGACCCTGCCCCCCGCCCAGTGTGGGCACGCCCCCTCCACCCCCCCGGGCATGACCACGCCCCTTTTGGCGGATGCAGGTCTGCGATTGGGCGGCGGTTTCCACGGCGACGCTGCCTGTGCTGCCTGCTGGGGCGCTGCTGATGGGCGGGGCCGCTGCCGGGCTCGCGGTGAGGGTGGGGCCTGCAGGGGAGGGGCCTGGAGGGCGTGGTCTGAGGAGGGGCCTGGAGGGGGCGTGGCTTAAAAGGGAGGGGCCTCATGGGGGCGCGATGGCTGGGATTTAGGCTGGGTTTAACTGGGATTTAGGGTGGGTTTAACTGGGATTTAGTCGGTTAACTGGCTGATCCCTTAGACCGGGACGTGGTAGGGTGGGTTTAACTGGGATTTTGGCTGGGTTTAACTGGGATTTAAGCCCGGTTTAACTGGTTGATCCCCGTCCAGGCCGGGACGTGGTGGGTGGGGTTTTAACTGGGATTTTGGCTGGGTTTAACTGGGATTTAAGCCGGGTCTAACGGGTTGATCCCCGCCCAGGCCGGGACATGGTGGCTGTGGCGCCGGGCGCGGTGGGTCCCGGCGGCCTGGGCGGCGCTGGGGGCGGGGGCGGGGGCGTGTCTGCTCCGCGCGGCCTATTGGGGCTGCGTGAGGGTCAGCCAGCCCCTCCCCGCGCCTGACCACGCCCACCCCGGGACACGCCACCCGCCCGGGACACGCCCGCCGTGGAGGCCACGCCCACAACGCACACCTGGGACGCACCTGGAGCTCACGGGACGCGCCCACCTTTTCGTTGGCCACGCCCTCTGTGGGCGCCACACGTGGGGCAAGGTGAGCCTAGGCTGGCCACGCCCCCTTTGGACCACACGGCCCCTCCCCCAAAATTGTGCTCTGCCCCCTCTTCCATCCAGCATGGCCCCTCCCCTTGCATGCCCAAAGCCACGCCCACTTTGTACATAAGCCCCGCCCCCCCATTCCCCGTGTATATTATTATTATTACTATTATTTAATTTAAGACCCTGCTAATTAACCCCCCCTGGAGGGGGGGACCAGGGCCTCGCGTGTAAATAAACCTGAAATCGCTGGGTTTGCCCCTAAAAGTTCAGCTTTATTAAAATACATCCAGGTAGGGGAGGGGCCTACGGGAAAGGGGAGGGGCCTGCAGGGTGGGGGAGGGCCTGCGGGGTGGAGGGAGGGGCCAAATCGGAGGCTAAATGAGCTGGTGACGTCATCAAAGCCCAGCTCTGGGTGGCTTCGTGCTGAGATTCGGCAAATTTGGGGCCATTCGGAGGGAACTGAATCGGCCAGTTCAGGCCGATTTTTGGGCCGTTTCGAGCCAATTCTGGGTCATTTTGAGCCAATTCTGGGCCGTTTCGCGTAAATTTCGTCTCGTTCCGAGCACGTTTTTTTGGGCCAATTTGGTGCCGTTTTTGGGCAAATTTGTTGCCGTTTAGGCTGATTTGGTGCCATTTAAGCCAATTTGGTGCCATTTAGGCCAATTTAGTGCCATTTTTGGGCCAATTTAGTGCCATTTAAGCCAATTTGGTGCCGTTTGGGCCGATTTGGTGCCGTTTAGGCCAATTTGGTGCCATTTAGGCCGATTTGGTGCCGTTTTTGGGCCAATTTAATGCCATTTTTGGGCCAATTTGGTGCCATTTAGGCCGATTTGGTGCTGTTTGGGCCGATTTGGTGCCGTTTGGGCCAATTTGGTGCCGTTTGGGCCGATTTGGTGCCGTTTGGGCTGATTTGGTGCCGTTCAGGCCGATTTGGCGCCGTTCGGGCCAATTTGGTGCTGTTTAGGCCAATTTGGTGCCGTTTAGGCTGATTTAGCGCCGTTCAGACCGATTTGGTGCCGTTTAAGCCAATTTGGTGCCGCTTGAGCCAATTTAGTGCCGTTTTTGGGCCGATCTGGTGCCGTTTGGGCCGATCTGGCGCCGTTCGGTCCGACCTGCTGGCAGCCCTAGAGCGCCAGGTAGGCGGTGATGGGGCAGTGGTCGCTGCCGGGCACGGCCTGGCGGATCTTGCTGTCGCACAGGGCGTCGTCGGCCAGGCGCCGCGACAGCACGAAGTAGTCGAGGCGCCAGCCCACGTTGCGGGCGCGGGCGCCGCCCAGGTAGGTCCAGAAGGTGAAGGCGCCGCGCGCCTCGGGGTACAGGCGGCGGAAGGAGTCGACGAAGCCGGCGCCCAGCAGGCGCGAGAAGCCCTCGCGCTCCTGGGGCGTGAAGCCGGCGCTGGCGCGGTTGGAGCCCGGGTGGCACAGGTCGATCTCGCGGTGCGCCACGTTGAGGTCCCCGCACAGCAGCACGGGCTTGCGGGCGTCCAGGCCCCGCAGGAAGTCCAGGAAGGCCGAGTCCCAGCGCAGCCGCGGCTCCAGGCGCGCCAGGCCCCGCCCGGCGTTGGGAACGTAGGCGCTGACCACGAAGAGCGCCGGGAACTCGGCCGTGATCACCCGGCCCTCCGCGTCGTGCTCGGCAGATCCTGCCGAGACACGGCGGGTTAGGGGGACGGGGGGCACCGGGAGGGGAGCGGGGGGCACTGGGGGGGACTGGGAGGGGATTGGGAGGGACTGGGAGAAGATTGGGAGGGACTCGGAGGGACTGGGGAGGCTGGGAGGGGATTGGGAGGGACTGGGAGAAGATTGGGAGGGACTGGGAGAAGATTGGGAGAGGGACTCAGGAGGGACTGGGGGAGGGCTGGGAAGGGATTGGGAAGGACTAGGGGGACTGGGAAGGACTGGGAGGGACTGGGAAGAGATTGGGAAGGGATTAGGAGGGACTGGGGGGGCTGAGAGGGACTGGGAATGGAATGGGAGGGACTAGGGGGACTGGGGTGCTGGGAGGGACTGGGAGAGGACTGGGAGGGACTGGGAAGGGATTGGTAGAGGATTGGGAGAGACTGGGGGGGACAGGGAAGAACTGGGAGGGACTGGGAAGGGATTGGGAGAGGACTGGGGGGGACTGGGAAGGACTGGGAGGGACTGGGAAGGGATTGATAGAGGATTGAGAGGGACTAGGAGGGGATTGTGAGGGAGTGGGTGGACTGGAAGGGGATTGGGGCAGTTCCTCCCGGGTTTGGGGTGGTTTATGCCCATTTTGGAGCAGTTCCCCCCGGTTTTGGGGCGTTTTGCCCCCGTTTCGGGCTCCCTGGGGTGGTTCCTGTCCCTCACCGATGCCGTAGGTGACGCTGATGGGCTCTGTCCGGGCCAGCAGCCCCACCCCGCTGTAGCCAGGCCGGCCCTCGGCGCTGGCCCAGAACTGGTGGGGCAGCCCCGGCAGGTCCCGAACCTCGGCGGGCACGGAGGAGCCCCCGCACTTCGTCTCCTGCAGGCACAGAACGTCCGGGGCCTCCTCCTGCACCCACTGCGGGGGTGAGGGTGGGGAGAGACCCCCGGGGTGAGACCCCCGAAAAACGGGACCCCAAAAAAAACACCAGGCCTGGGAGCCCCCCCCAGAGCCACGGGGGACCCCAGTCCTTCCCAGTGCCCTCAGTCCCTCCCAGTGCCCCCCAGTCCTTCCCAGTGCCCCCCAGTCCTTCCCAGTGCCCCCCAGTTCTTCCCAGTGCCTTCCCAGGCCCCTCCCAGTGCCCCCAGTCCCTCCCAGTGCCCCCAGTCCCTCCCAGTGCCCCCAGTCCCTCCCAGTGCCTCAGTCCTCCCAGTGCCCCCAGTCCCTCCCAGTGCCCCCAGTCCTACCCAGTGCCCCCAGTCCTTCCCAGTGCCCCCAGTCCTTCCCAGTGCCCCCAGTCCTTCCCAGTGCCCCCCAGTCCCTCCCAGTGCCCCCAGTCCCCCTAGTCCTCCCAGTGCCCCCAGTCCCTCCCAGTGCCCCCAGTCCCTCCCAGTGCCCCCAGTCCCTCCCAGTGCCCCCAGTCCCTCCCAGTGCCTCCCAGTCCCACCTTAGTCCCTCTCAGTGCCCCCAGTCCCTCCCAGTGCCCCAGTCCCTCCCAGTGCCCTCAGTCACCCTTGCCCCCTTTCTTGACCCCCAGTCCCTCCCAGTGCCCCCAGTCCTCCCAGTGCCCCAGTCCCTCCCAGTTCCCCCAGTCCCACCTGGTCCCCCTTTCTTGACCCCCAGTCCCTCCCAGTGCCCCCAGTCCCTCCCAGTCCCTCCCAGTGCTCCCAGTGCCCCCAGTCCCACCTTGCCCCTCTTGACCCCAGTCCCCCCAGTCCCTCCCAGTGCCTCCCAGTGCCCCCAGTCCCACCTTGGCCCCCCTTTCTTGGCCCCCAGTCCCTCCCAGTCCCTCCCAGTTCCCCCAGTCCCACCTTGGCCCCCCTTTCTTGACCCCCCAGTCCCTCCCAGTGCCCCCAGTCCCTCCCAGTTCCCCCAGACCCACCTTGGCCCCCTTTCTTGACCTCCAGTCCCTCCCAGTCCCTCCCAGTGCCTCCCAGTGCTCCCAGTTCCCCAGTCCCACCTTGGCCCCCCTTTCTGACCCAGGCCCTCAATCCATCGACGTTCCAGGAGGTCACTTTGAGGTTCCAGCGCCGCCCCGGGTCTCCTCCTCAGCGGGGTCCTCGTACTGGGGGCGGGGAGCCCTTGGGCACCTTGGGGCGCTGGGGGAATGAGAGGTTACTGGGGGCACTGGGAGAGACTGGTCGGCCCCTAGTGGGTTACTGCGGCACATACTGGTCTGTACTGGGCCATACTGGTCCATCTTAGCCCATACTGGTCCATACTGGTCCATACTGGCCCCTACTGGGTTATCAGAGTCCATACTGGTCCATACTGGTCCATACTGGCCCATACTGGCCCGTACTGGCCCATACTGGTCCATACTGGCCCCTACTGGGTTACTGGGGCCCATACTGGTCCATACTGAGCCATACTGGCTCCTATTGGGTTATTGGGGTCCATACTGGTCTATACTGGCCCATAATGGCCCCTACTGGGTTATCAGGGTCCATACTAGCCCATGCTGGTCCGTACTGGCCCATACTGGTCTGTACTGGCCCATACTGGCCCATACTGGACCATACTGGCCCGTACTGGCCCCTACTGGGTTATCGGGGTCCATACTGGCCCATACTGGCCCATACTGGTCCGTACTGGTCCATACTGGTCCGTACTGGCCCATACTGGGTTATCAGAGTCCATACTGGTCCATACTGGTCCATACTGGTCTGTACTGGCCCATACTGGTCTATACTGGTCCATACTGGCCCGTACTGGTCCATACTGGTCCATACTGGCCCATACTGGCCCATACTGGTCCATACTGGTCACTCACCCCCCTCTCCGTCCTTCGCCGCCTCCTCTTTCTTCCCGCGCTTCGGCATCGCCGAGACCACGCCCCTTCCCGCTTCAGGCCACGCCCCCCTGCGCGGGAGAGCCAATCGCAGCGCGCTTAGGGCCCGGGGCCCGCCTCCCCGCCGCCCCCGGCAGCCAATCAGCGCCTGCCGCCGCCGCGCGAGCCCCAACCGGAGCCAATCAAGGCCCGGGAGGATCCCAACCGGAGCCAATCAGCGCCAGCGGGACCCGAACCGGGGCCAATCAGCGCCGGCGGGACCCGAACCGGGGCCAATCAGCGCCGGCGGGACCCGAACCGGGGCCAATCAGCGCCAGCGGGACCCGAACCGGGGCCAATCAAGGCCCGGGAGGATCCGAACCGGAGCCAATCAGCGCCGGCGGGACCCGAACCGGAGCCAATCAGGGCCCGGGAGGATCCGAACCGGAGCCAATCAGCGCCGGCGGGACCCGAACCGGGGCCAATCAGCGCCCGCCGCTCTCTCGGTTAAACCCGCCCCCCCCTCAGCCTGCCAATCAACGCCTCCCGCGGCCGCCAGCCAATCCGGGCCCGGTGTGCCTCATTTCCCCCCCCACACACCCCTTACCGTTTAACCAATCGCAGCCCGCCGCTCTCTCGGTTAGTCCCGCCTCCCGCTCTCGCAGCCAATGAGCGCCCGCCGTACCTCAGGGGGGGGCCCCCCCCCTCGCGCGCCCCTCTCTCAGCCAATCAACGGCCGCCGCGAGCGGCGCGAGCGCTTCCCGCGCGCGGGAACTCCTCAATGGGGCTCGGCGGGCCGCACGCGCGCGGAGGGGGCGTGGCCGGAAGCGGAAACGGCTGTGGGCCCGCGTCACGTGACGCCGAAAAAGTGGGCGGAGCAAAAAAAGTCGCGGAAGTGACGTCACGGAGCGGGGAGCGAGGAGCGGCGGGAGGGAGCGCCGCGAGCTCCGTGACGTCACACTTTTTTTTCTCCCCTCCTCTGACGTCACCGTGACGTCATGCCGACCGTGCTGGGCCTGGAGGGCTCCGCCAACAAGGTGGGCGCGGGGGTCGTGCGGGACGGCGCCGTCCTGAGCAACCGCCGCGCCACCTACGTCACCCCGCCGGGACACGGTGACGTCACCAACCCCCTCCTCCTCCTCCTCGCGTGACGTCACGCCGCGGGGGTAACCCCCTCGTGTGACGTCACGTTGTTCTTCCTCCCCCTCCCTCCGCAGGGTTCGCCCCCGGCCCCACCGGGCGGCACCACCGGGAGCGGCTCCTCGGCCTGGTCGGGGCCGCGCTCCGCGACGCGGGGGTGGGGCCGGCCCAGCTCGACGGCGTGGCCTTCACCAAAGGTGGGTGAGAGGGACCCCGAAACCTCCCGGGAACACCCCAGAAACAACCCTAAAAACCATTTAAAACACCCCCAAAACAACCCTAAAAACCTTTAAAGCACCCCAAATCCACCCGAAACACCCCAAAAACAACCCTAAAAACCTCTAAAACACCCCACAAACACCCCAAAACACCCCAAAACCGCCCCTAAAAACCCTTTAAAACACCCCAAAACCCCCCTAAAACACCCCCAAAACCCCCTAAAACACCCCAAAAACGCCCCTAAAAACCTTTAAAACACCCCCAAAACACCCCAAAACCACCCCAAAAACCCTTTAAAACACCCCAAAACCACCCCAAAACTACCCCTAAAAACCTGTAAAACACCCCCAAAACCCCCTAAAACACCCCAAAAACACCCCTAAAACACCCCAAAAACACCCCCAAAACTCCCGTAAAAACCTTTAAAACACCTCCAAACCCCAATAAAACACCCCAAAACCACCCCAAAACCTCTTTAAAACACCCCTAAAAACCTCTAAAACACCCCCAAAACACCCCTAAAACACCCCAAAACCACCCCAAAACACCCCAGAAAACCTCTGAAACACCCCCAAAACCCTTTAAAACATCCCCAAACCTCCCTAAAATGCCCCCAAAAACCCCCTAAAACACCCCAAAACCACCCCAAAAAACCTCTAAAACACCCCCAAACCCCAATAAAACAACCCAAAACCGCCCCTAAATCACCCCAAAAACACACCCCAAAAACCCTCTAAAACACCCCCAATGTGGGTGTTTTTGGGGTGATTTAGGGGCGGTTTTGGGGTTGGGTGTGTTTTAGGGCTGATTTTGGGGTGATTTTGGGGTGATTTTGGGGTGATTTAGGGGTGTTTTAGGGTTGATTTTGGGGTGGTTTCTTACAGGGCCTGGCATGGGTGCCCCCCTGGCCGTGGTGGCCACGGTGGCCCGCACGCTGGCCCAGCTGTGGCTGGGGGTGTTTTTGGGGTGATTTAGGGGTGGTTTTGGGGTTGGGGGTGATTCTGGGTTGATTTTTGGGGTGATTTTGGGGTGGTTTCTTACAGGGCCTGGCATGGGTGCCCCCCTGGCCGTGGTAGCCACGGTGGCCCGCACGCTGGCCCAGCTGTGGCTGGGGGGTGGTTTTGGGGCTGGGGGTGATTCTGGGTTGATTTTTGGGCTGATTTTGGGATGATTTGGGTTTTTTTTCTGCCAGGCCCAGGCATGGGAGCCCCCCTGGCCGTAGTAGCCACAGTGGCCCGCACGCTGGCCCAGCTGTGGCTGGGGGTGTTTTTGGGGCTAGGGGTGATTCTGGGGTGATTTGGGGCTGATTTTAGGGTTGATTTTGGGGTATTTTGTTGCAGGCCCAGGCATGGGAGCCCCCCTGGCCGTGGTAGCCACGGTGGCCCGCACGCTGGCCCAGCTGTGGCTGGGGGGGTGTTTTTGGGGTTGGGTGAATTTGGGGTGTTTTGGGTGATTTTGGGTTGATTTTGGGTTGGTTTCTTACAGGCCCTGGCATGGGAGCCCCCCTGGCTGTAGTAGCCACAGTGGCCCGCACGCTGGCCCAGCTGTGGGCGCTGCCCCTGCTGGCCGTGAACCACTGCGTGGGGCACATCGAGATGGGGCGGCTGCTCGGGGCCGCCCCCGACCCCGCCGTGCTCTACGTCAGCGGCGGCAACACCCAGGTGGGGGTCCAGGGGGGATATCGGGGGGTATCGGGGGATATCGGGGGATATCGAGGGATATCGGAGGATTTTGGGGATATCGGGGGATTTCGGGGAATATCGGGGATATCGAGAGGATATTAGGGGGGATATCGGGAGGATTTTGGGGGATATGGGGGATATTGGGGGATACTGGGGGTATCAGGGGATATTGGAGGATTTTGGGGATATCGGGGGATATGGAGGGATATTGGGGGAATTTCAGGGATATGGGGGATTTTGGGGGATATCGGGAGGGATATGGGGATGTCAGGGGATATCAGGGGATATCGAGGGATATGGGGGATTTTGGGAGATATGGGAGGATATTGGAGGAATTTCGGGGATATTGGGGATTTCAGGGGATATCGAGGGGATATTAGGGGATATCAGGGGATATTAGAGGATATCGGGGATTTCAGGGATATCGGGAGATACCAGGGATATCGAGGGATTTTGGGGGATATCAGGGAGATATCGAGGGATAGCGGGGGGATTTCGGGGGATATCGGGGGGATATCAGGGGATATCGGGGGATTTTGGGGGATATGGGGGATATAGGGGGATTTTAGGGGGATATCGGAGTATTTTGGGGGATATCAGGGGGATATCAGGGGATACCAGGGGATATGGGGGGATTTCAGGGGATATCGGGGGATTTTGGGGGATATCAGGGGATATCGGGGGATTTTGGGGGATATCGGGGGATACCAGGTGGGTTGGGGGCGTTTGGGTGATGTCAGGTTGATCCCGGGTGGTTTTGGGGTGGTTTTGGGGTGATTTCAGGTGATTTCAGATAATGTGAGGTTGATCCTGGGTGGTTTTGGGAGTGATTTTGGGGGTGATTTTGGGTGCTCCTGGGTGATATCGGACGACACGAGCTCGATATCGAGTGGGGACAATTAATTAGACCCTGTGGGGCGATTAATGGGATTTGGGGGGCAATTAATGTCAGTTTTGGGATAACTAATGACATTTTGGGGGCCATTGGTGATGTCTGGGGGGTGATTAACGGGGTCTTGGTGGCAATTAAAGGGGTTTTGTGGATAATTAACGAGGTTTTGGCGGCAATTAAAGGGTTTTTGTGGGTAATTAATGAGGTTTTGGGTTAATTAATGAGGTTTTTGGGGTGACAAACCCCCTTCCCTCAGGTGATCTCGTACTCACGGCGCCGGTACCGGATCCTGGGGGAGACCCTGGACGTGGCCGTGGGGAACTGCATCGACCGCCTGGCCCGCCTGCTGCAGGTCCTTGGCGCTAATTAGCGCTAATTAGCGCTAATTGGGGCTCGTGGGGGGTGTGGGAGGGGCCTGGAGGGGCCCCAGGTTTGGGGGGGGATAGGGAGAATTAATGGGGGTTAACTGGGGGTTAATTGGGGGTAATAAATAAGAGTTAATTGGGGGTAGTAAATAAGGGTTACTTGAGAGTAATAAATAAGGGTTAATTGGGGTGATTAATAGGGGTTGATTGGGGGTAATTAGCGAGGCGTTAATTGGGGTTTGTGCCTGCAGATCCCCAACGACCCCAGCCCCGGGTACAACGTGGAGCAGCTGGCCAAGAGGTGACCGACCCCAAAACTTCCCGGGTTTGCCCCAAAATCCACCCTGGGTCAACCCAGACCCCCTCAGGATCCCCCCAAACCCCCCAAACCCCTCAGGGCCCCTCAAATTCCCTCAGAGCCCCCAAGCCCCTCCAAATCCCCTCAGGATCCCCCAAACCCCTCAGAATCCCCCCAGACCCCCAAACCCCCAAATCCCCTCAGGATGCCCCCAAACCCCCTCAGAGCTCCCCAAACCCCTCAGGATCCCCCAAAATCCCCTCAGAGCCCCCAAACCCCCCAAATCCCCTCAGGACCCCCAAACCCCCTCAGGGATCCCCAAACCCCCAAATTCCCTCAGGACCCCCAAACCCCCTCAGGATCCCCAGAGCCCCCAAACCCCCTCAGGATCCCCCAAACCCCTCAGGGCCCCCAAAACCTGCTCAGTGACTTCCCAAATTCCTTCAGAAATCCCCAAACCCCCTCAGGATCCCCAAACCCCCTCAGGACCCCCAAACCCCGCTGTCCCCCAGGGGTCGGAAGCTGCTGCCCCTGCCCTACGTGGTGAAGGGTCTCGACGTCTCCTTCTCGGGGCTCCTTTCCCACCTCCAGGTACCCCAAATTCCCCCTCAGACCCTCAAAACCCCCAAAACCCCCCAAAACCAGGGGACCCCAAAAACTACCCCTGACCCCATTTCCCCCTTTCCCCCCAAAAAATTAAGGCGGTGACCCCAAAATTGTTGGAGTCGGGGGAAGCGACGCCGGAGGATCTTTGCTTCTCCCTGCAGGTCTGGGGGAGTTAGTGCTGGAGCTTAATTAGGGGTGATTGGGGTTGATTAGGGTTTTTTGGGGGTGGGGTCTAACAGAGGGTTTGGTGGGTGATTAAGGGGTTAATTAGGGTTTGGGGGGTTAATTAGGAGGTTTTTTTGGGGGGAGTTTGGGGGCTGTTCAAGGGGTTTTGTGGGTAATTAGGGCTTGGGGGGTTAATTAGGGTTTGGGGGGTTAATTAGGGTTTTTTGGGGGGGTTTGGGGGCTGTTCAAGGGGTTTTGGGGGTAATTAGGGCTTGGGGGGGTTAATTAGGGTTTGGGGGGGTTAATTAGGGGTTTTTGGGGGGTTGGGGGCTGTTCAAGGGTTTTGGGGGTAATTAGGGTTTGGGGGGGTTAATTAGGGGTTTTTTGGGGGTTGGGGGGCTGTTCAAGGGGGTTTTGGGGGTAATTAGGGTTTGGGGAGTTAATTAGGGTTTGGGGGGATTAATTAGGGTTTTTCTGGGGGGGTTGGGGGCTGTTCAAGGGGTTTGGGGAGTAATTGGTGAGATTTTTTTGGGGGAATTCACTGAGATTTGGGGTCTGGCTGAGGGGTTTCGAGAGTAATTGAGGGGTTCCTGGGGTGCGATTTTGGGGTTTCTGGGGGCGACTGATGGGATTTTGGGGGGAGTTCATGAGATTTTGGGTCAGGCTGAGCGGTTTTAAGGGTGGTTTGGGGGGGTTTTGGGGGTTTCTGGGGGCGATTAAAGGGGTTTTGGGGCAGTTTAAGGGGGTTTTGGGGGGCAGCCAAGGTGGGGCCGAGTTTTTGGGGCGGTTTGTGGGGTTTTTGGGGTCAATCCTGTGGGTTTTGAGGCTGTTTTTGTGTTTTTGTGGCCCCCAGGAGACGGTGTTCGCGATGCTGAGCGAGGTGACCGAGCGAGCCCTGGCCCTGACCCGCGCCCGGCACCTCCTGCTCGTGGGCGGCGTGGCCTGTGAGTGGCACCGCCGGGGTTTTGGGGGGGCTGGGACCCAGGTTTGGGGGTTCAGGCCCAGGTTTGGTGGTTTGGACACAGATTTTGGGGGTTCAAGCCCGGGGTTTGGGGGGTTCAGGCCCAGATTTGGGGGTTTAGACCCAGATTTTGGGGGTTTGGGCCCAGGTTTGGGGGGGTTTGGACCCTGGTTTTGGGGGTTCAGGCCCAGATTTGGGGGTTCAGGCCCAGATTTGGGGGTTTGGGCCCAGATTTGGGGGTTTGGACACAGATTTTGGGGGTTTAGATACAGGTTTGGGGAGGTTTGGCCCCTGATTTGAGGGTTCAGACCCAGATTTGGGGGTGCTTGGACCGAGATTTGGTGGTTTGGACACAGATTTTGGGGGTTCAGGCCCAGATTTGGGGGAGTTTGGGCCCAGATTTTGGGGTGCTTGGACCGAGATTTGGTGGG